TCTCTCTCTCTCTCTCTCTCTCTCTCTCTCTCTCTCTCTCTCCTCTTCGTCGTGGTCTTCTTTGCAGGTGCGCGCGGCAGCTTCTTCAACCTCCGGATCCGCTATGGCGGACTTCTTCTCCGATGGCGACTTCGGCTATGACACGTAACTCTCCCTGCGGCACTCGACGGACGCGCGTGGAATAGCGGGTACCAGCTCCGATACCAATGCAATGAGACTCGCTTTCATTCACACTTCTCATGCATGCAAACAGGTTGCGCAGCAAACTGGCGACGAGCACCCACTCGAACTCAGAGATATGGCAAACAAGAACACAGTCCAGATACAATTCGCTTTAGATGGCTATGGCGGCTCAGCGCCTGTACAACTCTCTGTTCGCTCTCACAGGATCACCCTGGATACCCCGCACGCGGTACTCTGTACACACATACACACACACACACACTACACCCTATCGACAGCTATGGCGGCTATGGCCGCTGCTAGCCTATCGCTATAGCTAAACTCCTTCTCGCCCACTTCGTCCTCGGGCTCACTGCAGACCACCTAGCACAAGTCGCTGTGGCAGCGCTTCCGCATGGCTCAGGCAGGAATGAATGAATGGCTGGGCGCTGCCTCTTGATTTATACTTCTGTATCTTGTTGGTCTCCCTCTTTTCCCATGCCCGTGGTGCACACAGTCCCATGCGGTACTTGCTTGACTGGACTAGGAGTGACTGGGACTGGGACTGCTGACTCATCACGGGTGGGCTCCACCACTTGCCCACTTGCCTCAGCCTAAACGTGAGCAACGTCGAAAGGCCACTACTAGGACCTTCCAGAAGTCTGGGTCCTGGCCTTCCGAAGACTGTAGCAGCTACGACTTTGACCTTCCAGGACTGTAGCAGCTACGACCTTGACCCTTCGGAAGTTCTACAGCTACGACTTCTAGAACTCCCTAAGACTTCTACCTAACAGATCTACAGATCGAACCCGTACACCTACAGACCCTACGACCGACTACCACTTCTGCAAACACACCCAGGTCACGGGTTCAACTCTCAGGGTCGACACAGGTACTGTACACAGGTAAGGTGAGGACTGGGGATCGAGCCTTGGGATCTGCATTCACTACTGCTAATAGGTGAAAACCGTTTCAGTTTCAGAAATCTTTAGAAATTTCAGAAATCTCAGCAGAGGAAATTCCAATGATCCAAATGAGACCAAATTTGGTACACCCAAACCTTGACGCAAAACAAAAACAGGCAAAAAAAAAAAAGCAAAAAAAAAACCATAAAATTTGACCTCCAGAGTCCAAACCTTAATTTCAGCTTTGGGTCTGTTGGTCAGCACCTGAAAATGGCGGTCCCCGTTAACCACTAGTGGGCTATTACCCGGTTTCGGCTCAGTGGGCAGTTCCCAAGTCTGCTTCCTGCAGGGTCCCAAGTCCTGCCGTCTGGGGGGCAGTCTGCACCCTATCCCTGTTGAAGTGTTCCCCCAACCCGTTTTGTGTACTGTCCCTAGTCCTGCTGACTGGACGTCCTGTGAAGTGCAGTCCCCGTGCTACACTGCACAGGCCCCTGGGCTACTCCAGGTGGTCTGCATCGCGGGGTCAGGTGACAGGTGGTGCTGTCCCTGGTCACACAACCGGGCCATGACATCGTCTGTCTGCCTGTCCATTCTACTCCTCTGCCACCACTGAGAACGACTGAGGCGTGGCCCCATCTCTCCCTCTGTCCTCTCTACTCCTCTGCCTGTCCATTCTACTCCTCTGCCACCACTGGGAACGACTGAGGCGTGGCCCCACCTCTCCCTCTGTCGTCTCTACTCCTCCGCCCAAGGCGGGTCACCATCCACTACTCGATGCCCCCGACGGACCGACCATCTGTGGCAGATCCTATCCCCCTGTAGTCTAACAATCTGCCCGTCCCCGAGCCGCTTGGTCGCGAAGTCTTGCCGAAACTGGGACGCCCTGTCGGGGTTCTGTGCCGTCAGCTACTTTTCGATGTTCCAAACCACCAGGTACTCTGCTTCCAATGAGCACAACAGCTTCTCCCAGGCCTGTTGTTCTGGTAGCTGCTTTCCCTGCAAGACCATGGTGCACTTCCTCTACCATATTGTCCAAAGGACGAATGGGCGGAGTCTCTGGAACAGTGTGCGCTGGTACTCTGAACACCCAGGAGGGTCTGAGCCACCCCAGTGGGGAATGGGCTGCCGACGCGCATGTGCCAGAAAGAGGGCACCCTGTCCCAGATGTGCATGGCCTCTGGGCCACCTGTCCCGTGCTGCGGAGGGCGCAGAGGTCCGCCTGTGCGGGTCGGCCCTATGTAGCTCTGCGTCTGCTCAGCCACTTCGCGACTGGGAGGGCGAGATATGCAGTCAGCCATTGCATACTTCCGATCCGGTGTTGCGAATTGCAAGGATCAAGTCCCACAGGGAAGCACGCTGCACGTCAAGGTCAATGTCCAGGTGTCTTGCCCGCCTTGAGGCGATGGTCTCGGTCAGGGTTGGCAAGCTACTACTCAGCCTATAGCCGAGCTTGGCGGTATACTGCAGCAGATTGAAGTATGTGCGGGCTGTCCTGTCTTCGATGCAGCTTCCACGGGATCTATTTCAAGATCCTGTATCTCGACGCTGGGGTTGTAGACGGTATACTCCGCGTTCGCCACCACTCTGACCTTACGCACCCAGTCCCGCCTAACAGCCACCTGGCCAGAGGTGTCTCTGCAGAGGGGACTACTTGCCGCACCCAGGATACGCATGGATGCATGCTAAAGAGGAGCCACTCTCCATCTGATGATGCCGCGTCGACAAAGGCCAAGGCTGTTGTTGGAGTGCGCTCCCCCTTCATCGTTCTTATTAGTATTTTTTTCTCAATTTTGAAACTGCTGGAAGAAGGTAAGTGTTTGTTTGATATAGGGACAGTCGTTGGATGTCAGGTGGGTGAAGCACACAAGCAGAAAGAAGCGGTAGACACGGATATACAGAGTGCCAATCTCTTACCAACTGGCCCAGTAGCCCAGTTGGTACACCCCTGAACTGAAATGTTGAAATACAGACCAGGTGCGGAGTTCGAACTCCGCTGGAAGCAGATGAGTTAAACTCTACAACTCTCAGTCTGTGTTTTGGCGGGTCATTACAGAGTTATTTTCACCCGTGTCTGCTGGCTTCAGAGATGGAGAGACTCCGTGGTGGTGAAGATTGTCGAGATTTTTTAGTGACTAAGCTGCAAAGTAGAATCGAGATGAAGCTCTATCGTTGTGGGATACGCCATTTTGGTCAATGCACATATCACTGTTCAACTCCAGTCTAGTCAACCACAATAACAATGTTCAATTTAGTGGCGGCGATGTGTTTTTTTGACTGCTCTAGTAGTTTGGTAAATTTGTGACAAGCAAACACATCTGTCAACCTCTATATGGTTGCCTTTTATTTGATGCTGGAAGAAGCTGTGCACGATGTTAAGCGGAAATCAAGTGGAACACCAAACTTAATCTGTTCTTCCTAACTGTATCGTTTATTGGTGTTCATGGTACAGTATGTGGCGAATCCATATCTCTTCTCTGAACTTACAAATGTGAAGCTCTGCGTGGCAATCCCGTTCCCTGTGAAGACTCAATTGCTTCAGATGAGTCCCAGGTCAGTGCGAACTTTCCATTTAGGGGGAAGCCACTCTTCTTCTTGCTGATTGGTTGCTGCCTTTCTCCTCATTTTGGCAGTGTGTGCCTCATTGTCTGTGCTTTCTTTTCTGTTTTTGCCTGTACAACATGTCATTTGGGTTTTCTTTGCTTCACTTTTTTGGGTCTAGTCTCCGGTGATGGATAATGTTGGTGGCTACCTAGTTTAGTTGAGTGGCACTGAATTTTTCTGCTTTTGCCATTTGGGACTTTTTTTCTTTTCTTTTCTTTTCTTTTCTTTTCGAGTTGTTGTTATATGTGACAAAGTGACAGTAGTACGCACAATATAGACTTCAGCAGAACTCCAGGAAAAACAATCTTTCACAGCCCCCTTTTGCTTACGACAGCTCTCCAGACAGTTCTTTGTGGCAATATATAACATGACTTCAGTGGCGTCCTGCAACAATTGACCAGTCAGGTCTAGAGTCGCAGTGGTCGGCGCGGTCACTATGCGTCCATGTTGTGCCTTGTGCCAGCAGTGTGTATTGAGTGTATTTTACTATTTTCTGGCTATGGCAGACCTTTTGTTCGTGGGGGCTTTGCTGGCTTACGATGGGGTGTGAATCCACAGTCTTTCAGAGGGTTCATCTGAGCCCTCTTTGCCATGGTCCAAGCTTAAGTCCTGACACAAGTGTTCGGCAAAGCTTGGCGCACAGTGCAAATCCGCCAGGTCCAAATAACAAATTGTAGTAACAGCTCAAGTCCCTACACAAGTGGAAAGCTGTATTTATGATTTAAATCATAGCCAAACACTTTGGGGACCCGAGTCGTCTCAGCTCAGGTGTTTCCCTACGACTTAAAGTAACGATGTCAGTGTCTAGCTGCTGTCAGAACTTCAGAATCTAGCTGTTATTACACCGGATGGCCTGGATTTAGTTGTGCTGGCAGTTCCAGCTAGTCTTGTAGGACCCGTGATGTTTTCTGGAGGTGATTTATTTATTTATGCGCCGGCAGCTGATCTGCTTGTGGACCTCGTTTGTTGTTTGGACCTGGTTTACTATGTGTGGAGCTGGTTTGTTATGTGTGGACCTGGTTTATTATTTGGACCTGGTTTGTTATGTGTGGACCTAATTGGTTATTTGGACCTGGTTTGTTATGCGTGGACCTGGTGTCTTATCTGTGGACCTGGTTGGTGGTTTAATTGCCCTGTGGGTGGACCTGGTCTGTGAAAAGCAGGGGTGTGTGGGACCCTAAGATGAAGGAGGTGCAATGGAAAGTGGATCATATTGTGGTGAGTGTCGGTACCTTGCTGGTGGCTATTGTATTGTGCAATGTGCAGTGAATGTTTGTTGTTTATTCTTTGGGGCTAGGGAATTTTTGTTTCTTTGTTGCTCAATGACAATTGCTATGTGATTTGTATGAAATCATCTTTTTTTTCCCTCCTCCAAAACGACCGGCTCCTTCTGTTCTGGGAAGCATCAGTCTGGTTCCTATTCCACCGGCAAGTCAATGACAAAAAGTCAACTCTGGTACACGCTTCCCCACATTACGGCCCGGGGAACCTTGACAACATTGATTCCTCTCCTTGGGAAGGATTGGCTGTCAGTCACCTTTGAAAAAGATCCCTCTCCCCCTATCAATTTACCCGCCAAATAAACATACCTGGAAAGCGAAACCAAACATGTCCTATGTGATTTGTATGAAATCATCTTTTTTTTCCCTCCTCCAAAACGACCGGCTCCTTCTATTCTGGGGAGCATCAGTCTGGTTCCTATTCCACCGGCAAGTCGATGACAAAAAGTCAAGTCTTGTACACGCTTCCCCGCATTACGGCCTGGGGAATCTTGACAACACTGATTCCTTTCCTTGGGAAGGATTGGCTGTCAGTCACCTTTGAAAAAGATCCCCCTCGCCCTATCAATTTACCCCCCAAATAAACATACAAAACCAAACATGTCCTGGCCGATCTGCCAGTGGCAGACTGTTCTTAAACCCTAAACCCTAGAATAACGCGTAGCCTATATCCTTATTGAGGCTCATTCCTAAACCCTAGAATAACGCGTAGCCTATATCCTTATTGAGGCTCATTCCCTATGGGTAAGCCAGAGGCTTTTTGCTAAATGCGTGCATCATCTAATGCTACCCTCCCCCTCCTCCATTCTACCTCATCCCCTGTAAAGTATAGCCTTTACATCGATTGCAAGTTTTTGCAACATTCGTGCTCTGGCAGCATCAAGTGCCCTGTCCATTGCCCTGTTGCGGAGGGATGGACTACCAACGGCCGCAAGAGGATCTACTCTCCGAAGGGACCTCAGAAAGCTCCTTTATATGCCCATCTTAATTCCCCTAGAGTCCTGTATCCATCTGTTTGTTGCGATCCCGGGAGGGCAACATTGGGGTATCCCTCTTCCTCCTTTTGTAGGTGCCGGCCGGAAAGCTCAGACGAGCCAATAGTCCCGGGAGACCCCTGGGTTCTACTGCTCTGGTTGTGGGCCTGCAATCAGGTTGCCGAGCAGGGCCCGACCAGGTAGGCTAGGAGTCCGTAGAGTGTAGGGTCTGTGTTGTTTCGACCCTCAGTAGGGTCCGCAGGGTCGGTAGGCCGAGTAGGACCGGTACCAATTAGAGGCCCTGTAGACCTCGTTTCGGGTACAGGCCCTGGCGGGTGTTTTGGGCGCCAGACCCTGACTTTGAGGCCGCGCCGTTTCAGTAGGTGCTGGAGGCCCAGCCTTAGTTTGGGCGCCAAACTTTTAAGGCCCAGCCTCAGTTTGAGCGCCAGGACTTAGCAGTTGAGGCCGACCCATCGCTATATATAGCTCGGTCCGGCCTCAGTCACGCATTCAGTAGATGATCGAGGAGGCATACTTCGGACGACCGCAGTACAGTAGTAGTCGACGATAAGACTAGTCTTCCAGCGCTGGGCTCTATAGAATAGAGTAGCTCAGGGAGGGAGAGATGGTGATGGCGGCGAGAGGACTTACCTGAGACTTACCTGCGTGGCCATTGCTCCAGCTTCGTCTTCAGCACGTTCGCAGGTCAGTACCTTATATATGCCATTGTGACAATATATAAACTCCGACGAAACAGTTTGTCACAGCCCCTCGTTTGTTGTCCTTTTCTCTCTCTCTACCTACGGTTTACCGGGCAGTTCTGTTTGTGACGATATATATATATATATATCGTCATATATGCGCTCATCCACCCCATCCTTACAATGTGTGTCCTTTCTGTTGTCAAGGACAGCCTCATTCTTGAGTTTTTCCCTGTGTTTAACACCTTCCCCTTCACTCTGCCTCTCTCACAGTGTGCAAGTGGGCTGTTATGGCATACGGGGATGGGGCAGCTCGCGCTCAACTTCATCAACGTGGCGAGCCTTGCACGTGAGAGGCACACAGTGGAGGTGGAGTTCAAAGAAGAATGAGAAATTTAATGGTTTCAATCTGCCCTTGTTTTTTCTTTTTGTTTTTCTTTTTATTTTTATTTT